AAACGACAAAGTGGCAAGTGCGCCTGCCAATTCCACTGAAATTGTGCAGATGTCCCCGTGAGTCCCTTTCACGCAAAGACCCTGGGCCCCGCTGCAGGAGCTCGAGGGTCGACCAAGGGGTGTGACAAATACAACGCGCACCCACAAACGGATAGAAACCCCAAAATAGCGCGGAGCACCGCTAAGCAGTTGCAGCACAGGACACACAAGACAGCAGAGGCCAGTTTTTTGCAATAACAATGGAAGAGAACTCGGCAGAGGAGTTTGCACTAAGTTTCGCCGTCGATGCAAAAGAGAGGACCGGTTGACACAACTTTCGGATCCGGGTAATCATCAAAAAAAACTAGGCTGATGAAGACAGAAACCAGCGGGTTGGGAATTGGGGTAACAGATAAGAAAATCAGAATGGCCGTACTTGAATCTGTCCCGATGCTGGAACAAACTCATGCAATAAGGGAGGGGAGGGCAGGAAGTCTCCTAACATGAGAGCACACAAGAGCATTCACGGAGGTTTTTTTTTGGGGGGGGGAGGGGGAGGCTCAAACTGTTAGCCGGTTACAACCACTATGCTGTATGGAGAGCCAGGATATGACAACCGAGGGGGGCTGGCAGAGGGATCGGCGACTGAAATATTTCTATCTCTAAGCCGGTACGTCCGACTGGGCAGGCGGAGACAATACCGCCTCTGCCTTCACCTTCGCGCTCGTTTGCCCGAAATCAGTATCGTCAGTGGCAACTACGCCGTCCACACCGCTCGCAGAGCAAACACTGTGATCTCCATTGGCATTTAAATCCTGCTGCTGTTGGAGTTCATCGCCGTCGACGTGATTCGTAGTTGTCGTCATCGTTGTCGTCATTGTCGTCGTCGTCGTCACTGTTAGCTCTCTTTCTTTTACCGAAATCTGATCAATGTCTGACTCGGATGAGGAGAGTGGGGAGGGTGAAAGTCCTGTCTGCGGTGGTGAGATCGTCTCTGCCTCCTTCCCATTAGCCTCTACCGCCTTCTCTGTCTGTGGTGAGATTGCCTCTGTCTCCTTCCCACTAGCCTCTACCGCCTTCTCTGTCTGTGGTGAGATCGTCTCTGCCTCTTTCTCGTTAGTCTCTATCGCCGGCTCTGCCGGCGGTGAGATCATCTCTGTCTCTTTATCGTTAGTCCCTATCGCCGGCTCTGCCCGCGGTGAGATCAGCTCTGCCTCTTTCCCGTTAGCCTCTGTCGACGACTCTGCCCGCGGTGAGATCGTCTCCGCCGCCTTCCCGTTAGCC